TGGTCAGTAGGTGGATGGTGGGTAAACTCATTGGTCAGTAGGTGGATGGTGGGTAAACTCATTGGTCAGTTGGTGGATGGTGGGTAAACTCATTGGTCAGTAGGTGGATGGTGGGTAAACTCATTGGTCAGTAGGTGGATGGTGGGTAAACTCATTGGTCAGTTGGTCAGTTGGTGGTTAAACTCATTGGTCAGTTGGTCAGTAGGTGGATGGTGGGTAAACTCATTGGTCAGTAGGTGGATGGTGGGTAAACTCATTGGTCAGTTGGTCAGTTGGTGGTTAAACTCATTGGTCAGTTGGTCAGTAGGTGTATGGTGGGTAAACTCATTGGTCAGATGACATGTTCTGAATGTCACCTGTCATGTGTGCCATGGGTCCGACGTCCAGCCGTCTTCTTTCTGTTCCTGTGTCACCACATCCACCTGTTGGTGTCACCATTCAGGATTTACCAGTGGTGACACGACCTGTTGTTGTAACCGTCACTTGCATGTCACCATGGGGATGCGCCCCCCTCCCCACCCCTCACCCCCCCCCCCTAAACCCAGAAGTTTCCATACCTCGCCATCCCCACACGCAATCAACATACAGCCGTCATTGTATGGAGGCTGTCTATAAATAGATGGACTATAAATAGATTGTCGTCCATCTCACGCGCGTGTTTTAAATGGTTCATTCGCACGTGATACACATAAGATGGCGGATAGGCTCACCGATCAACAAGCTGATGGTTTCATCTAGGCCATATCTGTTCAAGTGTGGGGGAGGGGGAGGCGGGGGGAGGGGCGGGGGTGCGTTCTAGTACTCACTTCAACACACTTGTCACAAGCACTCTCTCACACACACACGGTCACACACACATCAACACACATACACAAACACCAACTCACACACTCACACACACATAGTCACACAAACACACACGTACACCAACCTAATACACAAACACCAACTCACATATCGACAAATATACACTCACACACTCATACTGACAATTATCTTACCTATACATACACAAACACACACTTATATATCCATCCACACACACAGCAACCCTCACTCACACACACACCACCAGACTGAGAAGGAATCCGCAGGTGGTTTCAAGTTATCTTGAAAGTCCAGGGCCAGCAACTCTAAGAATGATTACAACAGGCTAATCTCCCCCTGTCAATTGACTCAGACAACGACCAAGGTTTCTGTAAACACTTCGCGTTTCCATGGTAACCACTCCATTATGATTTTAATCAGCGTCTCTCAGTTTGATTCGTCTGTCCAAGTTTGGCCAGTCGAGACGCCAGATTTCTCTCCCCATTACACAGTACTTACGTCCCTTGGGTCGAATAATTGAATTATCGTCGGATAAAAAGATAATGACGTAACATCATTATGACCAGGGGCTCTAGAAACTGACTCAGTGGCTTCAATATACTATATTCTCGTCAGGAGCCAGTAGCCCCTGTCTGCAGTCATATAGCCACAGTCACCTGCATGCAGTGATCTGCCTGCAGTCACCTGCCTGCAGTGATCTGCCTGCATTCACCTGTCTTCACCTGTGTATAACACCTGTCGTCTTTATTCTCTCTATTGTGTTTTTCAATTATAAAAATGGCATTCGGTGTGCATTTGTGAGGGGTGGGGGTTGGGTGGGAGTGAGGGTAGAGTGCACGTTGTGGTTACCTCAGTCACCCAAACCCACACCATCAAATGTTTTCCCGAACATGACAACCTGCTACACCACACGAAACTAGCCAACATTTTTCTGACCGATAAAAAAAAATCTATAAACAAACTGGAGGTTCCATCTTAGGATGGAATTTGTGGGACTTCAACGACACGGCAGCACATCACGAATAGGGCAAGTAACTCACGGAGTAAACATGGTAGGGGAGGTAATCAGCCCCAGAACACAGACAAGGCCCTGTATCTCACGTGAGAGTCAGGAATGACAACTCTCCTGACCAGTCCACGTCACAGGTTATTAGAGTTACAGTTCCTGCTCGCTGTGCGAGTTGCCGGTCCTGTTATCTGTGGAGAAATAAAAGAAAAAAAATGAGCTGCATGGGTTGTCTCCCTGAGCTAGTAATCCAGACTAGTGTCCCTTTGTGTGTGGCCGAAATGGGTATGATCGAAATCACGTCATTCCGCTTGATACAAGAAAAAAAAAATGGAAAAGATAACAATCGTTATTCGGACAATTTTACAGCGGAGGTCATACAGTAAAAAATAACAAAGATATTAATGGTTATTGGGACAATTTCCTGGCCGAGGTCTTAAAAAATAATTTAAAAATCCCAATATTATGGAGGCAGGGAATAAATGTGAAGTCGCGTGATAGATTTGGTATGTGACGTCTGTCCTTTCACACAAGGTTTATACAACTGCTACTAACACACAGTGTATCACACTGACATCAGCACAACTAACACTAACTGTGTCACAATGGGACATGGCCTTGATGACCTTGACTGGACTTTTGTTGATATTGTTTTAAAACTCTATGACCTTGTCTAATGATGAAATGACCTTGACGCACCCACCCACGCCCTCTGTCGGACAGCTCTGGTTAAATCTTGTCATTGACATCAAAGTTTAGTGTATGACGTCAGCAATCTGCGGCCAGTGTGTACACGCCTTCTGTAGCCAATCACGTCACAAGCTCCCCTGACCCCTCCTGACCCCTCAGCTTGAACCCACACTACTTCAATGACCCCCCCCCCCTACCCAATGCCTCCACCACAACCCGTCCGTTACCTTGGATATTGATTCGTATACTGTGTTTTCCCCACCTATACTTTCGCCCCGTGTAAGCACCTTCCGGTAATGGCCGACATATGTATTGTCATTTAAAATGTCATGTCATATGTCAATGTTCGCGGTTGTCTATGTCAACTCGATGTGTCAAGCTTGAATGACCTTGACATAGATACAACATCCGGCCAGCAAATATTCAGGAAATTATGTCTGATTGTATGACTTAGACCCTAGATCATTTGTGACTGGAAATTATGACTTAGACTCGTTTTAATGTCGTTTTAGACACAATGTTCATATTTTATGACACTACGTTCATATTTTGTGACACTACGTTCATATTTTGTGACACTACGTTCATATTTTTGTGACACTACGTTCATATTTAGTGACACTATGTTCATATTTTGTGACACTATGTTCATATTTTTGTGACACTACGTTCATATTTTGTGACACTATGTTCATATTTTGTGACACTATGTTCATATTTTTGTGACACTACGTTCATATTTTGTGACACTACGTTCATATTTTGTGACACTACGTTCGTATTTTGTGACAGTATGTTCATATTTTGTGATACTTTGTTCATATTTTGTCCAGGTTGACGTTCATACAAATACTTAATCGATTTCCTCATACAACATAGTTACATAGTACCTAGATCTAGATATAAGCGCCGTATTACAAAATCTCCGTATAAATGACGTCATATGGAGATAAGCGAGCGATCACCGTACACACGATTTTATTGTTGCATTCAATAAAAGGACTCAACGCTAGAGGGGGGGGGGGGGCGCTGTTGCTATTCAGGAAATGACGTCAGTTTCCTGCAGGATCAACTCCCCGTGATTGGAGATTACGTAACATCTGCAGCTGCCAGTCGTGGATTATCTACCCTGATAAAACATGGCGGCCAGACGTCAACACCTGCTGTGTGACGTCACCTGCTGTATGACGTGTGGCCAGCTGACGTCACGTGACCTTGAAGATTTGAGTTTGAACGTCTTATACTTTTGCAACCTTTTTCTTGGACGCTTTGGGATGTCTCTAGCCGGCAGACTGACCAGGCTTTGTCCAGATATCTGACTTTATCTGTAGCCCATATCCTCAGATGACTTGACAGTCACAGACACTTGACCTTGACTATCACGACCTTGCTATCCTGCAACAATTCTTTGACCTGTTGACGACCTTTGACCCGTGTTATCTGTACCGGAAAAGGTCAAGTGGGTGTACGACTTTCTATAAAATTGTCGGGAAACGTAATTAGCCCACTTAATTAGACCACTTATAGCAGCGAGAGAACAACTGTTTCCTTTTTTACCAGCTTGTGTGCTATCTACAGGGGACATTACATTATGTCATTCTACACGGGACATTACATGATGTCATTCTACAGGGGACATTTATTCTGTCATTCAAGAGGGGACTTCTATGATCTAGAAAAAGGCGGGGGGGGGGGGGGGGGGGGAAGGTTCCCACGAGGTAACAAACATATTTATTACGTCATATTTGTGTCTAATACGTAGAGGTAAAATTAGGGACATTCTTTCGCAGTGTTTCTTCCAGACTTTTTTCTCCGGGGGGGCACTTGAAATCTTCGGGGGGGCGGTAAACTTTTTTCGGGGGGGCGGACACTGTTAAAAGTATATATTTGCTATATAAATTATATAAATTTCATTTCGTTCGGGGGGGCGGTAAAAATTTTTCGGGGGGGCTTCGCCCCCCCGAAGAGATGCCTGGAAGAAACTCTGTTCTTTCGCCGACGTTATATGGAATACCTTACTATTTGGTTTATTGGCCAATGGCCATCATTACACTGGTTTGATTGGCTATTTAATTAACCTGACATTTGGGTCTAATTATATCAGGTCCATACAGGCATATATACAGGGACATTTCCTGTCATTTGTCAAAATTTTATACACAGACGCGTCAAACACAGCCACACATCATATATATATATATATATATATATATATATATATATATATATATATATATATATATATATATATATATATATATATATATATATATATATATATATATATATATATATATATATATATATATATATATATATATATATATATATATATATATATATATATATATATATATATATATATATATATATATATATATATATATATATATATATATATATATATATATGTCTGTCACCCCAACTGTCACACCCACTCTACTACTGTACCCCCCCCCTCCCCCCCTCTATGCAGGTCTCAAATATCTGGCTTTACACTAGAGTCTGAGAAATCTGTTTTAAACATACGCGAGGTTGCTCAAAGATTAATGAGTTCATTAACGACTTAATTGCTAGGCGGAGTCTCCTACCACTTTGTCAGACTTTGAATCACGTGACCCCGTGACGTCATGACCAGCTGACGAAAACATCGTCACTGTCTAAGGCAGTGAGTGTATCGATTTTCTATCGATATTAAGTGATTGATTCTAATTTGGGATATATCGATTTCCTATCGATGTCAAGTGATTGATTCTAATTTGTGAAGTATCGATTTCCTATCGATGTCAAGTGATTGATCCAAGTTGTGAAGTGTTGATCGTGTTGTGAAACTGGTTTTGTTTATCTCGTGTTCAAAATGGCGGAGGGAGGATTACCAAACGCCATCTACAGGCCGACTCTGATGGTCAAGGATGAGAGACCGTAAGTCACGTGTTCGTCGTCTGCTACTTTCCCGCTGGTACCGCTTACACGGGCGGGGGGGGGGGGGGGAGGGGGTCACAGCTATCCTACCTCAGGGGCCGGGCCACATCACACCCCCAGGTCTCGACGGCAGGGCCATAGCAGGGTCGGGCTATGGCTAGCCATACCTTGTAGCGGGAAAATAGCAGACGTTTTAAACTTGAGACAACTTGTTAATGTCACTAGTTGCCTCTCTCAGTTTACCTAATTAATTAATAAATGGTTTGAAAGTTGTTTTTTTTAAAATCAATTTATAAATGTGTAATTTTTTTGTTTAAACTAACATTAAGCCCATAATCAGTAGGCCTAGTTATTTAACTTTATAAAATTGTCATTTAAATATACATGTCTTTTAACGCAACGATGACATTTGACTGTCACCTGTCTATAAATCCACGTAGACTACATCAGTTCTTCTATTCAAGACATTGATCAATACATAATTTATTCATCCCTGACCCTCTCTAAGCCCCTCCCCTCTTGTAGCCCTTACCCCCTCTAACCCTCCTTCTAACCTTTACCCACTCTAACCCCTCTTCTACCCACACTAGATCAGAGGCCTAGCGACCCTTCCCGGCGCCCGGGGACAAACTTTTCGATTTGCACCCCCCCCCCCCCTCCCTCCCCCCTCGATATTTTGATTTGCACCCTCCTCAACCTTTCAATTTATTTTTCCAACCCATTTTGGCGCCCCCTAAGGTCGGCGCCCGGAGACATATGTCCCCCCCCGCCCCCCCCCCCCCCGCTACGCTACTGCACTAGATACGCCACTGCTTACACCGAATACTCACCCAACTAAATCATATCTCAAAGTAATTAAAACTGGCGGATGATCAATGGTTGTCTGAGATAGCAAGACATTTGTACACAGAAAGATTTTTATACAAGATAGTTCTACACGTCTAGTATTTCAGAGCGTCTAGTTTCATTTCGTCTCACGATGGAGAGGATGTCTATGTTGGTCAGAAGTCTGTCTAGATTGGACATATGTCTGTCTAGGTCACATACCTTGCTTGCCAAAACCTTTTAAGACAACCTACCCCGAACACACTTGAACTGAAAGCTACTAAGACAACCTACCTCCCACACTTGAACTGAAAGCTACTAAGACAACCTACCTCCCACACTTAAACTGAAACCTACTAAGACAACCTACCTCCCACACTTAAACTGAAACCTACAAAGACAACCTACCTCCCACACTTAAACTGAAACCTACTAAGACAACCTACCTCCCACACTTAAACTGAAACCTACTAAGACAACCTACCTCCCACACTTAAACAGAAACCTACAAAGACAACCTACCTCCCACACTTAAACTGAAACCTACAAAGACAACCTACCTCCCACACTTAAACTGAAACCTACTAAGACAACCTACCTCCCACACTTAAACCTACTAAGACAACCTACCTCCCACACTTAAACTGAAACCTACAAAGACAACCTACCTCCCACACTTAAACAGAAACCTACAAAGACAACCTACCTCCCACACTTAAACTGAAACCTACTAAGACAACCTACCTCCCACACTTAAACTGAAACCTACTAAGACAACCTACCTCCCACACTTAAACAGAAACCTACAAAGACAACCTACCTCCCACACTTAAACCTACTAAGACAACCTACCTCCCACACTTAAACAGAAACCTACAAAGACAACCTACCTCCCACACTTAAACTGAAACCTACTAAGACAACCTACCTCCCACACTTAAACTGAAACCTACTAAGACAACCTACCTCCCACACTTAAACTGAAACCTACTAAGACAACCTACCTCACACACTTAGACAACCTACCTCCCACACTTAAACTGAAACCTACTAAGACAACCTACTTCGATCAGCCAAACCTGTTAACAAGACTTCGACTAAAATAATTGTGTTCTGACCCAGCTGGTTGTATTGATGTGAAAGGAGATTTTCCCATTTCCTAATTAATTATTCATGATGGCCGCTAATGATTATGTGGTACAATGACTGAGTACTTGCCCGTGGGTGGGGGACGTGAGTCTTAATGAACTCATCCGTCGTCTGCTTGAGTGGATGTTGGTGTTTTAAGTCAGGATGGTGGTGGTACAACTACTTTTGTTGGTGGTGGTACAACTACTTTTGATGTTGGTAGTACACCTACTTTTGATGTTGGTGGTACAACTACTTTTGATGTTGGTGGTACAGCTACTTTTGATGTTGATAGTACACCTACTTTTGATGTTGGTGGTACAACTACTTTTGATGTTGGTGGTACAACTACTTTTGATGTTGGTGGTACAACTACTTTTGATGATGATGGTGGTACACCTACTTTTAATGTTGGTGGTACAACTACTTTTGATGTTGTTTGTACAACTACTTTTGATGTTGTTGGTACACCTACTTTTGTTGGTGGTACAACTACTTTTGTTGTTGGTGGTGGTACAACTGCTTTTGATGTTGGTGGTACAACTACTTTTGTTGTTGGTGGTACAACTACTTTTGATGTTGGTGGTACAACTACTTTTGTTGTTGGTGGTACAACTACTTTTGTTGTTGGTGGTACAACTACTTTTGATGTTGGTGGTACAACTACTTTTGATGTTGGTGGTACAATTACTTTTGTTGTAGTTGGTGGTACAACTACTTTTGATGTTGGTGGTACAACTACTTTTGATGTTGTTGGTGGTACAACTACTTTTGTTGGTGGTACAACTACTTTTGTTGGTGGTACAACTGCTTTTGTTGGTGGTACAACTACTTTTGTTGGTGGTACAACTGCTTTTGTTGGTGGTACAACTGCTTTTGTTGGTGGTACAACTGCTTTTGTTGGTGGTACAACTACTTTTGATGTTGTTGATACAGCTTGTTAGCGCACAATTTCAAGTCATACGACACTACGACTCCAATGACTCCTAAGACCTAGAGTCACACTCAACAAAATGAATTTGACAGATGACACAATGTGTCAAATACATTTCATGTCAGTACATGTCATACTGCTTCTGTGTCATGTCATTGACATGTAGGCTGTCTGCGTCATGTCAGTACATGTCATATTGCTTCTGTGTCATGTCATTGACATGTAGGCTGTCTGCGTCATGTCAGTACATGTCATATTGCTGCTGTGTCGTGTCATTGACATGTAGGCTGTCAGTCAGGAGATGTCTGACTTGTCACGTGATCTATAGCCACAAAACCACCAGCCAAAAACTATATGTAAGAGGATGCACGGAGTGACGAAACACGATACACCATCTCACATGGAAACATCGGTTACCATGGCAACATACACAAAACCAGTGGGTGTTGACTTCATTTGTTTACCTCGGCTGTGACAGTGACAGTAGGAGACGTGTCACTGAAATAGTGACGTCACTGAGATAAATGGCACTGAAAAGGTGACGTCACTGAGAAAATGTCACTTGTTAGTAGGATAAAGATGCTGGTGCTACACGAATTAAAAAGGATACACATGTCAGTGTATCAGATGTCACTAGGATTTATGTGCCACTAGAATCTGCAGTCATATGTAGGCTGTAAATTATGTCTAAGCCTAAATACATTAGGCACTAAATCATGACCACGTCAAACAATCTTACTGGAATAACTAGCTCTCAGCCTAACCTGATTAAGGCCGTTAATCCCACTATTACACCGTTAATCCCACTAGCAGACCGTTAATCCCACTCACAGAGCTAAAGCGAAAACTAACAAAAATAATCTGACAAGTTGTAAAACAAAGGCCGACAGTTTTAATGTCGGTTTCGTCATATCGACATCTGTGTTTATTCAGAGATGATCGATTTTTGGTAATAGGATATCTGTGACTGAACAGATCTCTTTCAATGATCTGTGTCTAGAGATAGGTGATGTGTGTGTGTGTGTGTGTGAACAGATCTCTCTCAATAGATGTGTTTGTGGAGGTATGTGATCTGTGTGTGTGAATGTGTGTATGTGAAGAGATCGTCAATCGATACCTGAGAGAAAACGTGAGTAGGTTCACGTCATGTGGGATGGGGTGGGTACGTGGTGAGCTGGCGTTATTAGACCCCTCTTTTAAAATCTCTAATGTTTGTGTTAAGTAATGTTTGTGTTACCTGTAATGTTTGTGTTACCTGTAATGTTTGTGTTACCTGTAATGTTTGTGTTAAGTAATGTTTGTGTTACCTGTAATGTTTGTGTTAAGTAATGTTTGTGTTACCTGTAATGTTTGTGTTAAGTAATCTTTGTGTTACCTGTAATGTTTATGTTACATGTAATGTTTATGTTACCTGTAATGTTTGTGTTACCTGTAATGTTTATGTTACCTGTAATGTTTGTGTTAAGTAATGTTTGTGTTACCTGTAATGTTTGTGTTACCTGTAATGTTTATGTTACCGGTAATGTTTGTATTACCTGTAGTGTTTGTGTTACCTGTAATGTTTATGTTACCTGTAATGTTTGTGTTAAGTAATGTTTGTGTTACCTGTAATGTTTGTGTTAAGTAATGTTTGTGTTACCTGTAATGTTTGTGTTGCCTGTAATGTTTGTGTTACCTGTAATGTTTGTGTTATCTGTAGTGTTTGTGTTACCTGTTATGTTTGTGTTACCTATAGTATTTGTGTTACCTGTAATGTTTGTGTTAACTGTAATGTTTCTGTTACCTGTAATGTTTGTGTTACCTGTAATTTTTGTATTACCTATACTGTTTGTGTTACCTGTAGTGTTTGTGTTACCTGTAATGTTTGTGTTACCTGTTATGTTTGTGTTACCTGTAATGTTTGTGTTACCTGTAAAGCCGTGCCCTATACAACCAGCACTTTGTAAGATGTATGGCGAATGCTGAATTGCCAGACCGACACACCTGCGTATGATTTAGTCACGTGATCCGGTGTTAACCACCTGTCGAACGGTCACGTGAGCTCTGATTTGTTTCACCTACCTGCGCACAGGTAGAGCCTGCCGACTTTACGCCTCACCTCCACTTGTCAGCC